ATCAATTTACATCAGAAATACACTTTCATTTTCCAATTCTTCTTTCTCACTTTTATACTTATAATAGGATACAAGCAAAATTTTATCTACAAATTAATATGTGTTTTAGTTGGATTGTATTTAAATAAAATTTTGGTCTCAATAATCAAGAATTTTGAGTGGAAGAGAGAAAATTTTGTATCTCATTAAATATCTATCACATAATAATTATCTACAAATTATTATTCAAATATATTATGAGTAATGTAGTTTTTATGCTACTTTTCTAACCCTTCACCTCTTTACTTGGGAGGAATGGAAAGAGATAAAAGGAAAATCGTGAATTTCTCTCCGGTCTCCACTCTTTTATTTTTCCCCTCATAAAATAAAAGTATAAACGAATGCATATCAAAAGGTAATATAAAAATGAGACAATTTTAATGTGACCCTGATTTTGATGCACTTAAGCTGACTGACTTGGATTGGACTTTTCTATAATTTATTCCATAGTTTATGATTTTTCAATAATTTTTAATTATTTTCTTTTTTGTTATTTTTAGATTATGTTTGAGTGTGCGTTGATTGTGCGTTATCTCCTTTGATTGCGCATGATTATAGTTATTTACTTTTATTTTATTTTATTTTGCCTATTTAAGGCTTGGAGAACCCTATTATTATTTGGTTATTTTTGGTTAAATAAAATTAAGAAAAGAGAAAAGTGTTTTCTCGCAATTCTTGTTTCGTTCTTTCTTTCTGTTTAGCCAATTGGTTACTGCTTCGGCATTATTTGGTAATCAGAGCTCTGGTTGTCACATAAATGGCTGAACAGAATAATGGCGGTTGATGTCATGGACGACGAGGTCAAGGCAACGACGGCGATAGAGGGCATGATAACAGCCTAAACGACAACGACGAACAACCACACATCAACGTGCGAGACACCATAATTGACACCATAATTGTAGCAATGACTTCTACAATGGCAGAACAAGGTAGACAAATTCAGGAGCTCAAATAACTGTTTGCCCAAACACAGTTAGACGAGTCAGATGAAGTAAAGGAATCTGAAAGATCATCTCATAAGGAGGAAATGAGCGAAAATCCATTATGGAACTAGAACCAGGAGCGACGAGCACGAAGTCAACTTGGAAATCAACCTTTTTTCTAATATTGGGGTGAAGATTGAGATCTTGGAATTCAAGGGCATCACTCATCCAGATGAGTTTATCGACAGGTCACACACCGTCGAAAGGGTCTTTAACATCAGAGACTTGACAGAAGACCAGAAGGTCCCGATCAATGATGAATATGATGAAGATCAAGATGATGAGAATCCCGTCATGGATGCTCAGTTTATGATGAGTTCCTTATCTATGAAAAGTATAATTGGGAGCAAGACAATGAGAATTTAGGAGTGGAAGAAATCTCTTGTAGTGATTTCATTGAAAAGTCAGTGATTAGAAATTCTAATATCTCTGACATAGAGGAAGTTCTACCCAAAGATATCATGCGGAAAGATCCTTCATTCAATAAGTCTTTCGTTTGCAAGCAGTAGTATGAATCTGGGGACAACGGGCATAACAACCTCATGCTCCATGGAGATAAAGTTTAACTTTTGGTAGAAGTTTAATTGGAGATCGTCAGGGGCAATGGGAATTGTTGTTACATCAGACGAAATTTTTCTATGACGGATCACAGATGCGATCATTGATCCAAACTGCAGGCAATAATCCTTTTGGAATAATCTATGAGTTTTGTCCATTTACTCCCTTGGAACTCATAATATTTCTAGTTCCCAAGCAATTTAATACGAATGCAAATGAATATACCAAGCATATCAAAGAATTGCATTCATAAGTCCTAATCTTAATTAGAAAATTTGGTGATATTATCCTAGAAGAGTTGTCACCTAGGTTACCACCTGAAGAAGTTCATATCAATGAAGACGAAGCATATTCGAGGGAGAATCTTTTCCAAGTGAGAGAGAATGATGCACCCGAGCTGACTGATTTGGATTGAGCTTTTCTATAATTTATTCCATAGTTTAGAGTTTTTCAATAATTGTTAATTATTTCATTTTTTGTTATTTTTAGATTATGTTTGAGAGTGCGTTGATTGTGCGTATCTCTTTTGATTGCACATGATTATAAATATTTACTTTTTTGTTATTTTATTTTGCCTATTTAAGGCTTGGAGAACCTTATTGTTATTAGGTTGTTTTTGGTTAAATAAAATTAAGAAAAGAGAAAACTGTTTTCTCGCAATTCTTGTTTCGTTCTTTCTTTCTATTTAGCCAATTGGTTTGAGTGAGGATATATGGTTATGATGAGTATGTGAACGACACATGTATTATAAACAACTCATGATCAAAAATCATTGGATAAAGTAATAAGTACATATTGCTCTTAATCAAACGTCTGAAGTTTAAGTAATGAAAAAAAAAATGATTTCAGGAGAATTACCCTTATAATAGGGACAAACAGTACTTGAATCGAATTGATCGAATAATTTATAAATTAGTAAATATATTAAAAAAAACAACTTATGGAAATAACGTACCATATGCTCAAAGTAGATAATTAAAGATTCTATGGATGCATATAGAAAATTTAGAGGCAAAAATGAGTTTAATTTGAATTTATTATTAGCGGAAAACTTTTATTCTTTTGTTTTGTTTGTTTGTTTTTTTTTTTTTTTGAGTAAACTTTTATACTATAATTATTGAGAAAATATACTCTTACGTTATAGGAGAGAATTTTTCTCTCCTACAAATATATCGACTTTTGTGTTATTTTTTTTGTTTTTTCTTTTTTATAGTGAATGGATCTCACACATGAATATTTTTATTGTACGAGAGAGTTCTCTCCTATTGCATGAGATTAATAAAGTCATAATTATTGTGTTATTAGTTCAGGTTTGGGGAAGTGCATACCTTTGTCCGTGAGACTCTGGGAATGTGGGGTAGGGGCCCAACCAAGTGTGATTGCTGATTGCTGATTGCTGATTGCTGATAGTATGTGTCTTGTGTGTGCAGACCCAGTTGCAGGTGGGTGTTGGAGCCTAAGAATCGGTTGATTTAGAATTGGATTTGTGTTCGGTTGATAATTTCAATGATGGTAGTGAAAATAAATGTTTGATTAGTTAACAACGTTGAATTAATAGTAATGTAGTGAAAACATAGATTTCAACTGAGTTCAACGTAACTTTTACTATTTGAAAAAAAAAAACTGAGTTCTACGTAACTTATATATTTTCAAATAGTAAAAGTTATTTTAAAATTGTTAAGTATATTTTGAATATTTGAATTCATTTTATAATCGAATTTAAATAATTCTCTTAAATCGATTCTTATTTTTATTGAGAAAATTTCCCCAATTAAAATGTAAGACAAACTCTATAGGGACTTTTTTTGGTAAATAATTTTATTAGGATTTTTTTTAATATCCATAGTTTTATTAATTATCTGACTAATCTAATTTGAGCACTATTAGACCTACTATAGGGGCAACTCTTTTAAGATTATTTTTTTCATTCCTAGAACTCGAGTTCGAAACTTTTGATTAAAAGAAACAACCTCTTTATCCTATCAGGAGTTTCAATTAGGGTAAATTTAGATTAATTTGTTTATACCTTTTAAAGAAAATTTTAATTTTTTTCCCTCAGAAATCAAATCATAGTCAAACATAAACTTGGTTATGAAAAAAAAAAAAACATTTTGTAGTGTTAGTATTTTCTCATTCATTTCATATATATATATGGGAAAACATTTTCTCCTTTTAAAGAAGAAAATTTTTCTCCTACCAAAGACACATAGTATAAGTGGAGCCTACAAAATAGTGGAGAGAAAAAAAAAATCAAAGTGCGACCCATTTACACTATAAGTCTTTGGTAGGAGAAAAAATTTCTCCTTTAAAAGGAGAAAATGTTTTCCTTATATATATATATATATTCCTTTCATCATTCATATTTATATATCTTTTTTATTATTAATATTTGTATCTTTTTGTTGGTTTCCAAAATGTATCTTTCTCGTTTTTCTAATGAATATTTTTTTTTTTATCCAAAACTTGTGAACTATTTTTGAAAACGTATGTTTTTTATTTCTCCTCTTACAACAACATGACACACCATATAACCGTTTAATACTTTGGAGAGAGGAGACTATCATGAATTTCAAATTGGGAAGAACAACCCTATCTTGCCTTCTTCTAGTACCCTTTCTTTCAATGTTCTAGAGAATGAAAGAAACAAAACTCTTTCCTTTCATACACAAACAGAGGCATCATCTATTTTTGGCAACTAGACATTTAGCTCAAAGCTAACGAACTGGACTAAAGCTAGCAAAATGCTAACTTTTTACTGACCTACTACAAGAAACAAAAACCCAAAGCCATAACCATAGGGATACATTAAGCAAAGTTCATTTAATACATTATGCATGACTAGACCTTATTCCAATTTTGGTTTTTTCCCTATGTCATCTACCTTACCATATTTTTAGGGAAATAGAAAAATAATGATGTGAGGAACTAATAATATAGATGTGAAGGGTCCTTGGCTACATGTGAAAGTGGCAAAATCACCTACTAAGCATTGAGAGAGAGAGAGAGAGATAGAAGGTAAATTAATCAACCATACGTAAAGAAGTCTAATCAAACTAAGAGGTGTTAGACTTGGGCCTAATTAAAGGGCATGGTCAATTGCTCTATCAAGATTTTATTGGCCCATTATATTGAATTTTCTAGAGTTTGGTGCCACTTCAACCCCACTTCATTTTCTTCAGCTGCTTTTGCATTTGAGAGTTAATCTTTCAATTTTCCCATATTGACAACTAGAAAACAGACATTTCACCTTGTTGAAAGGCCTCTAAACTAACCCCTTTGGTTGTTCTTTAAGAAAGTGAGCATTTTTCTTCTTGCAAGAGTGACCCTTTTGTCTAATAGGTGCAACAATGGCTTGTCTTTGAGGTTTACACAAAACCAAGCAAAAGGGAGAAGAGATTGTAAATTCCCATATAGAAAATGGAGGTTAAAACCCCTGCAATGAAACGCCACTTTGATATCACCATGTCAAGAAGAACAAGGAAGCAATCAATTCCAATGCAGGCCAATGAGAAACCTATATCAGTTTGTGACACAACAAAAAACGTGTCACAAGAAACTAATCTTCCTGAGATGAAAGAAGATGGGAATGACCACAAAAGCTTGAAGCAGCTAATCATAGGAGATGAGAATGATGCAATGAAATGTAGTGATGAAGGAAGCAAAGGAAGGAAAGAACTTGGTGAACATTTCACTGAGGAAGAGAAGCATCTTCAGCTGGTTAGGATGCAACAGAAAGAAAACCTCCAAGGTTTGAAGTTCAAGAAGTTGGTGCGTCGTTATGCCAAAGTTTTGGGGCATTTGATGAAGGCTAAGCGTGATCCTCATTTGGGTGAAGCTGGGAAAAAACCTGTTTTGAAGTTATCAACCTAGGAAAAATTTTAAGTTTTTCCATTTGATGATTTGGGTTGATCTATTTTCTTTATATATATGCTTATATTATGGCCAGCAAAATACCTTAACTTTTCCTCATTTTCTTATCATTCATGTATCCTTATTCATGCATATGGCAATGTATTATAATATATAAATTGTATCACTCACATATGTTCTCAATATGTTAGTTTCTAATGCTCATATCTTCATACTAACAATTTTATCCCACTTTCTCTTGTTTGTGCTTGTCATAAAACAAGCGTTATTAGTTTTCACTTTTTTTATGGATTTCCTTCACACAATGCAAGCAGTGTTTTTGTTTATATGTTCTCTCATATTTGTATCTTACCCCATCTTCGTCAAAAGAACGTAAAACTATCAAAGTTTTACATCCAAATAAGTTTAACAATTAGAATGTTAAGGATGATTTGTTTTGCATATGTTTTTCAGTTGCAAAGAGAAACATTTGAAGTGAGAAAAGAACAATTTAGCAAAACAAAGAAAAATGGTGAGAAATAGATGTGAGCGTCACGTTCCCAATAAGAAAAGAAATGGGTCTTGGGACCTCAAGCAATTGCCCTGTTTTTTGATGTGGAAGGTTTGTCCTTTTTATTATGTCAAAATGAAATCAAAGTCTCTTTTATGAACAATCCAATCCTAGTTATAGATCTATTTCCGAGGGGTGTTTTCTAGATTTTATTTGCACATAGCTTCTCTTGCAAGTTCCTAAGGTGCCAATTGTCATTCATTGTCTTTCTTGCTCAAGTATTATATTTTTCAATTTGTTTATCTAGTTGAACTTCATTGTTGTTTACATTTCGTGATGTGTAAGTTTATTAGTTTAGTGTGATGATAGGATCACAAAACTAGAGCCACAAATGTTTGGGATATTCTTACAAAAATAATCGAGTGAAAATAGAAATTATCTGAAACCAAGACATTTTGATTAATAGTTCCAACCGCCACAAGGCTTCAAATGGCCATTTGAGCTACCATTAACTTAGAGCCTAGATAAAGCTAATGTACGAATAATTCATGCGGGAAAACTGACATCATTTTGCCATCTTGGCGGATTCTAAAGATTTTATGAAAATAATCGAATTGTAAATCCAACCGAACCACACAAAAATAATTATATATTTTTTTAAATTGATTTAAAAAACGAATCATTTTATGTAAGCTCAGTTAAAAAATTAAATTAGTTTATCCATACCGGTTTGAAAATCAAGCGTTTGATTTTTTTTTTCTTAACTAGTATCATTCTTATTTATTTATTTAGCTTTTGATTTTTTCTTTACTATTATCATTTTTATTGTTATAAATATTATGGATGACTGTACACATGCTTTGTAACATATGACTATTTATTTTTCACGACATTTGATGTTTCTATAACCATCACATTAATGATATGCTGCAATTGTAATTATTTCCTTAATTATGTTTAAAGTCTTATATGGGGACATGTCTTAGATAAAAAAATTATATTATTGAATTCAGAATATAATAATACTTTCTTAAGAGTTCATTCTTGTTCTTATTTTATCTTTCCCTTGAATTTTTTTTTCTATACTTCATTTTCTTTTCTTTTCTTTTATTTTTTATTTTCTCTCATATTCTCCATCAAATTTACAATATTTATTTATTTAGCCTTAAAACTTGTTCAAAATCGATGTGGAACCAAAACTGATTCCTGATATGCTAAAACTTGTTCGGTTGAATTAAACCGTTAAAACTAGTGTGATTCAATTCGAAATAAAAAATTAAACGGTATTCATCCGTATCACTTGGAACTTTAAGTAAACTTATAGGGATCTATTAATCTCATATTTCATGAGATAATTATCTAGACAAAATAGTGGGGGTCCATCATTTGTAAAAAAAATATATATATATGAACCCCACTACTTTGTCTATGTTGCACATGAGATAATTATTTCTCAAACTTATATTAATTAATCAAATATTACAATACTTTAACAAATTGAAAATAAGTAATAAGTTACTTGGGGAAAAATATTTTCACTAAACTTTGTTGAAAATTGAATTAACCACTTATATTGTTTGGAATTGAAAAATTCTAAAATTAACTAGTCTGAAATTATTAAAAGGGGTTTGTCATAAGTTGCGGTTCAATCACATGAAAGTACACTAGAAATACATCTAAGCTTGAAGCGACAAAGTAGATACCAACTTAAATTAACAATTAAGATACGTAATGTTTGTGTCAGTCCAACTAGGAATATACACATTAAAAATTATCTCGGTATACGTTAAACTGTTAATTTGAATGTATATAACCAAATTAGGGTAGCATGTGGAAAGATTTATAAATATTTGACCTTTTTATTCTGATATTAAATTCATAAATAATAAATTTTGATTTTATAAATAATTTGTAAAAAAGAAATATATATAGTCAATCATAAATTTGCAAGAAATTGTAATCAATCGTTTTCCTCCACCAACATAAAAAGTAAAAGATTTTAAATTATATATTGTTTTCGTACTTGAATTAGAATTCATAACCATTTGAATGATGATGACAATATCAGTCTAAGAGCTTTTTCCCTTAGTATAATTACGAAAGTTGACCATTTCCCTGATTTTAATTTTGATATTTGCTAAAGAAGAAAATTTCAAAAAAAAACAAAAAAACTCTATCCTTAAAAATGTCGAAAGTCGTATTAAAAAGAAAAGAAAAGAAAAATGTCGTGAGAAAGTCATTAGTGTGAGCTAATGGTGAGTGAAGTTATCAATTCAAACCTCAATACCACGATCGTATGATAAACAAAACAAAATTTATAAAGAAATCTCTCCTCATTTTCTATATGACCGATCAGTCATACTTTCTACAATAAGATTTGAACTGATACATAATTCACTAATTCAGTGTCACTAACATAGTTTTAATGAAATTGATATTGTACACATTCTAATCAAATGTGTATACTTTGTATACATTTTACTTCATATTAGTTCTAATTAAAGAAAACTTGATAAATATACAAACTATAAACCCCGGCTTGAAATTCTTGACTTGCTAAAAAATGTGTAAACTTTCACGATTAATTAAGGGATTGAATTTTTCTGTGGTCCATACCTTGTATGTTAGAGAAGGCAGAATAATTCTATTCATCAACACAACTAGACTAATAGTGGTGCTGTCAAAGACTTGGAAGGATTATGGAAATCCATGGTGCATGTTACTATCACCCCAAGTAGTGCACAAATTGCAGGAACAAGACCCAAACCAAACCTTGTAACTGAAAGGAATGATTGTGTTGTCTGGAGAGGTGGAGAGACATCTGCATTGATGATTTGAACAGAGTGAGATAATTAAAAAATAATATAATGTACGAGCAGTAGTAAAGTCGCTACCGAAAGGTTATGGGTTTGAATAAGAGAAACAACTTTTTTGCAAATATGCAACTGTAAAACTGTGTACAAGGATTTCCCTCACCTCAACAGGGTTTAACGAGTGGTTTTTTATAATCATTAACAATGATATTACAAGTTACTTAACCATCAAACAAGGTAAGTTTCATGGGTTGTAAGCTCTTATTCATCTTAAGCATTTAAATTCTTATGGCATCTGCACTGTACATAAACTTTTCATTGGACCTTACTTCTTAGTTCTGATTAGAACTAATCCTGTTTTGGAGAAATTCACTATCTGTTATTGTGTGCACGGAAACTTGTAGGAATGCAGAAGAAATTTAAGAAACTTACCTTGATATGACTGAAGAACATATAAAGCAAGCCCACATGAGATTTTGTCCAAAAAGCTCAATGATCCAACAACAAATGCACAGCCATTAAGGTTCTCTCCAATGAGAAAATTTTGCATGCTTATTCCAGTCACCTATTATAAAAACCAAGAAATATATATACACATTTAAAAAATTAGTTCATAGTAGTTTGAACCATGATAGCTGCAATCTATATGACCCATAGATTTATAATACTGCATGTTGATTAAAAAGGCTTAAAACATAAACCAAGAACCCAGCTCCCATGTCTCTTATTCTAATTACCTATTTAGAAATCAACATCAACACAAAAAGTATCAACTGAAGTGTGTATGAGGAAGAAAAGTGGGGAAACCGTATAAACCAAGCCTTCATAGAAAGGAATGATATGAATGATGTTCATTTTTCATCTGTACAGCGTAGCATTAGCATTGACAACATTGACACTATGAAAACAGCTTAATTTCAAAATTTATTGTCCTTATGTGTGGTCCAATTACTAGGGTTAAATTTGAGCACCCGATGTTTCCTATTATTGACTAATGTTCTCATTTCTGACCAACAAGTAAAAACCCGATGTTCCCTCTTATTGACTAATGTTCTCATTTCTGACCAACAAGTAAAATAGTGTTAAAACTGTACAGTGCACACTAGTACAACTATCTTCTAAATATCATCAAATAATAATTTTAATTGAAAAAAGCTCCAATCCCCGTGCACAAGGCTCCCTGACTTGCAAAGTAGGGATGATGGTTGATTGTATGCAGCCTTACCTCTGTATTTTTGCAAGATGTTGTGTTTCCCAAACTCGAACCCGTGACCTTCCGGTCACAAGGAGCAACCTTGCCGCTGCTCCAAGGCTCGCCCTCTACTTTTAACTAAGCAATTTAATTAAGCAAAGATTATATCATACCATTATGAGAGCATTTGCTATGCCAATAAATACTGATGCTATGTACATGACATAACTCATGTCTCTATTTAAAAGAAGGATCACTCCTCCACAAAAAATCCAAAGAATGCATCCAGCAGAGTAGTAGGCCTTAAGCAGTTGGCCAGTCCATGCAATCTCCTACAAAGAGTAGACGAATTTAACATTTGGGATCGACAAAAATGAAAATGTAATATAGATAGCTATCCATCAAGAGTGCTTATTTAATAAGGAAACCTGTAATGCAATGGATACGACGAAGCTGCAGATGTATATGATGGCAGGAACCTAATTCAATCATCATTCATCAGACAATGTAATCAGCCTTGTCATTATTCGAACTTCATATTATATACAGATGAACAGCCAGAAATGAATTTAAAGTGGACAAAATTTGTGGTGTACCAAAGCTTTGGCTGATTGAGCCATTTGTAGGTCATTGATAACAAAGAAAGCAAGGTATGCCTGAAAAAGAAGCCATTTTGATGTCAAAAGTGTTCATATAACACAATATATTATTGTTGTTTCATTGGAAATTCAAATGCAGGCATGAAGTTTCAGTTTCCTTTTAATTATGTAGCTAAAGAAGTGTAAGGATACGTGTGCTAACCTGTGAAACATTGAGAACTAATCTCGTTAGAACATAAACAAGAGCAACCTGATAATACAAAACTCTCTTGAACCAGTAAACCCATGAAATCCTTGCATGAGCCTTTCCATGTACTCCCACCTTCAGTCTATGAAGAAAACAAAAGAAAATTTCTCAGTTTTCTAAAACAATAGCTGAAACTGCTCAAGCAACCTATTTTAAATAAAAGTTGAGAGGGATATAATGGACTTGCATGAACAATGATTACTAGCCCACTAAGGCTTTATTTTGTTAAAGTTCTACAGTTACAAGCTCTTAGTTAAACTAAGATTGCATTTGCTTTCACAATTTCTCTACAAGGTAGGCATCATCAATTTTTAGATTTTCCCTTTATCAGGTTTCAGATGGGTTATTCATGAATTGCTTTTCCTCATATTTATCACTGACACAGAACATATAAACATTGTAAAGAGCATGAAGAAGATCATATTTCCAGTCCTACAGTAAAGGGTAAAACCAATGCAGAAGGCTCCCCGACTTTGTGATGGTAAGGGTCAATTTTACGCAGCCTTATCCTTACATTTTTGGTAAAGAAATTGTTTCCCAAACTCAAACTTGTGACTTTCCGGTCGCACAGGGGCAACCCCGCTGCTCTAAGGCTCACCCTCTTTTCAATTCTACAGCGTGTCTACTAAATGGTCTATGAACAACAAAAAGCTTTAATCCTTGAAAAAAAAATAGTAGTAAGCCTACAAGCACACCTGGGCTCTTTGGTTGCAAGATGAAATATGCCTACAAAGCAGCATCCAATAAAAATTGACACATACGCAATCCAGCGGTACTGCTTATTTGGAAGAGAAACAAAGTGATTATGCTGGAAAACAGCTGATCACAGATGGATCCAAAAAATTACTGTCATACATACCTGATTTTCAACATCAGCATATGTTTTTCCACTGATGACACTGAATACTATAAACGCAACTGCATATAGGCTCAGGTTGGCCACCTTCAAAGTTATATATACATTAGTAATTTATATCAACATATTATTGATTTCTTTTTCCAGGAAGGGGATATGGAGTTTCATATCTGAAAAGAAGTTCACTAGAAGCTTACCATGGTAAAAGCATTGCGACAGCTAGCCAGTGCCACTCTGCTTGTAGAGTTCAGTGTGATGCAACTCACCATGGACCTTCAAGAAAGCAATCAAAGAAGAAAATGATGAACATAATTTCAAATTTGAGGGATAGGAACCTAAGCTTTTTCATTTAATTATTCTCTTATCCACTGACATTATAAGATTAGAGATATCACTGGTGCTACATGGTTTAAAAATGAACACTGCTTCATGGCATTCCGAGACTCATAGTTACAGAAATAATAATTACCACTGACAATTAAAGCTGAAATAGCAAAAATCAGACATCCGTAGTGATGAGTATTTGTTTCATTCAATAGTGCAATAAGATCATCCAGAAAAACCACTCACCACTCATCATCTTTTCATGTGAATGGCATTTCTTAACAACATTTTAGGTCATCCCAATATTTGGAGACAGAAATCACAATAAATATCAAGAAGTCGATCATGTAAAGTTACTTAAAATTTATAGTTTAAGCTGCCAACAGCACGGGGAGGAATAACACTTCATAGGTGACTTCACTAGCCAACAACTTTTAGTTTGAAATTTCAAACCGAAAATTTTAATTTTCAACTTCAAACGAAAAAAGATAAATTTAAGGAAATTATTACATGTGTGAAACCTGAGTAGCAGCCCAGCCCACATTGAAGATTGCAGCGAACACACTGTAACTCACAGTTTCGAAAGTAGTTGAATTGGAAGATGAAATTTTACAAGGTAGACAACCACCAAAAACAGAAGAAAATGAAACAGCCACCAATACAGATCCAGCACCATGCCATATCTTGAAATGCCCAAACCTGTCTATCTATCAAGCAAGGTGACAGAAATAAGCATTTCTATCAAAATAAGGACTTAAAAGCACATAATAAGATAAGAGAAAAGAGTAGCACTAGAAAAAAAGGGATAAGGGTAAAGAGATATTTAAAATTTCTTAAATTCATAAGAAACAAACAACTAGGTTAGCATGATGTCCAAGGAATGATTTTCATTTCGTGTTATTTTACTTCTAGATAAAATCTGCAAATTCACGAAGAATAAAATAAGGTATTTGGATGATATAATTGATGGATTTAATCTATGCAATAGCGAAGGTTTATAAGATGATGACATAGGTTAAAAACATCAGGTAAGCTCGGCTTAACCTCCAAAACACAAGATCTGGTTCCTCAGTTATCAGAGGCTAGAGCAATGAGCAGCCATCCCCCTTCACTAGGGGTGAAACTGGGCCAGCCCGGCCTACGGGAGCCTACGTCAGGCCAGACCTGACCTAGTATATTTCGTAAAATAGGCCAGTCTTGGGCCTTGAAAAAGCTTGTTTAATAAAAAGGCCGTCAAAAGGCCGTAGGCTCACTTTCAAAAGGCCTGGCCTATAAGCCTACAAGCCAGCCTATATTGTACTATTTATTTTACATACAATAAAATAGAATAAGTATGTCTTGAAGAAAAAATAAAAGATATAAATTTAATCAATTACAATTATTTATAACTTAATTATATTCGATTATATTTTAATAGAAATCTGACTTTATTTCTTATGTAGGAGGAACCAACATCTCAGCATGTTAGTTGTGTATATGAATATATTAAAAGGTTTTTAGGAGATGTTATACTTATTACAAGCATCATTATGTGTTTGTTGGATTCATGTAGTTATTTTAATTTACATGGTATGGATTTGTTTGTTGGATCTGATGAAATATATATTATTTAGTTTGAGCATTTTGCTTTTGAAATTGACTTAAATGCAGATTGTATGAGTTTTGTTGTGATTCATGATTCTGTTTGGACTTTGAAATTATGATTTTTGATTTAGCAACAGAATTTGAGTGTTTTGTAAAGTTGATTCATGCTTCTGCTTGAAAGTTAAAAATTAACAGGTTGATGGGCTAGGCCAGGCTATTTGTTTTTTTTATAAACGGGTCAAGTCAGGCTAACAGTTAGTCTCGTACTAGACTTAGGCCAAGTCAAATTGAAATTTTTTGACATAGGCTTGGGCTTTTCGGGGCAAAGCTTGGCCCAGCCCAGCCCACTTTCACCCCTACCCTCCGCCCACCCAGGGATAAAAGGACAAAAAAAAAGGAAGATGAATGTGAAGTTTACTGACAGAAGCATGTGAAATATTTCCCTAGAATGAAGGAAAAAATAGTGTTTAAATACCAGTTCACCAACAAATACAGTGGCAAATCCATCGGCCACTTGACCTGAAAGCATCACAGTAGCTGCATCCCTATGAAATGAAAAACAAAAAATGTCAAGAACACAAAATATGGAAGTATCACACAAATTTTGTGTAAGATCTAAAAATATAAAGCTTTTTGTCATGTACAAAATTGAATATGGTTTATATCTTGAAAAACATTTATTTACTGCTAACGGTTCAAAGTAATGTGCAAAATATTTCCTATAGCAGTATATATATACATATCACTGGAAGCAGCCTAAGATAAGCGACAGAGTACGTTCTGAAGCCAGCCAACTGCATCTTATTATTATCAATTATCTCCTTCATGGAATATTTGTGTTGGGTTCTATTTGCAAGGTATGGGACTTGGAGTCCCACATTAGTTGTATGGGCAACTAATATGGGGTATTATAAGGCTTTGCGCACTCTCACCCTTTGAGCTAACTTTTGGGGTAGTGCATCCCAAGATCTCATCAAATGGTATCAGAGCATCCATCACGTCGAGTTGTGCGTGGGGGCACGCACTAGGGAAGCGTGGTGGAATGTTGGGTTCTATTTGCAAGGTATGGGACTTGGAGTCTTACATTAGTTGTATAGGCAACTAATATGAGGTTTTATAAGGCTTTGGGCACTCTCACTCTTTGAGTTAGCTTTTGTGGTGGTGCATCCTAAGGTCTCATCAATTTGCTATTAAAATTTATACAAATCATGTGTTTGTCCACCAATCATTTAAGTTTTACCATCCCATTAAGCTATTTTCATTTTGCAAATTAGTTTAAATCTATGTCAGGACTATACTACGCAAGACCAAGGCATCCTAGGCTGCTTCCCCTTAGAATATCAATTGGATTTCTACCAAATTTTTAATGACAACAAATTTTTCAAATCTGCCATTTCAACTTTCAGTTACATCAATTAACAAGCACTTGCATAAGAGTTAGTTACACCAGTTGGCAAGTGCCAAAACATAAATAAAAATCCTTGATCATAAAATGCACCTTGGTGAAAGTCCAATATCTGTCAAGAACAATAATAGATAGGTGAACCAACAAGCAGCAGTTATGTCATTAAGCATGTGTCCCATGCCATAGTAAAAGATAGGCCATCTGCCTAGGACCTTGGTAAATGAGTCATCTTCTTCAATAACAGTACCCATCATGGTAAATGAGTCATCTTCAATAACAGTACCCATCGTTGCCCCTTTGATGAGGCAAAATACAAACCTGAAAGGTACAAATTGACGATTTTAGCTTGCAAAATGAGTTTTCTTCCTCCATTTTTTTTTTAATCCATTTCTTGTCTCATTTTGTAATGTTTACATTTTATCTTCTATAGAATACGTAGAAACACGCACCAAACATAGATTAAAGTAGGGGGAAAAAATTGGGGTTACACATTTTGATTCCTCCTTCATCTAGTGTACACCCCTACAAAGCATCCCATTGATAAAACTAGGCCAAAATAATCTAATTTCAGGCGTAAAAGAAAAAATTTGTCCATTATACATAACAAGAATGGTGATAGATCATACTGTTTACAGAAGGAATTTTTCCTACTCAAAGAACGGGGAAATGAATCTTAAAAGTAAATTTCATCTGATAAAATTTAGACGCTTCTAAGAGTTTATCTTATACAAGACTTTGTAAATACAATCAATCAATCCCAGGAAAGACCCCTCTTCTTTTCCACATGTAGTTATCATTGCCATAATCTGACAGCATAGTTTTCTTCCAACTACAAGAAGGTAGAGTTTTCAAAGATCAAGCTGCAAAACCCTAACCACATATACCATTATAGTCCACAAAAGAAGCTTAAATTTTTTTTTCAGACAGATCAACAATGTGCACTGATTTTATGGCAAGCAATACAGCATATTTGAATTTTAACAAGATAACAAGATTGGGCAGGGCTCTCAATCACACCAAGGAAAAAAGAGAGGATAGATTGGAACCTCAATCAAGAATAAAAAGTGTATGTATAAGCTCAAAGCAACCAAGCGTGAAGGGTACAAATATTAGAGCCAAATCATAGCAATTCTACATTGAAACTACAGCTCTTGATGCCATATTGGTCCAAAAAATAAAGGAATAAAGTGAAATCACAGAAGTTTATTATACCACACTTTCCCCCAAATTCACTCCATCAATAAAATATGTAACTAAGAAAACGTGTCATAGCATCGGTAGAAACACATCCTAGAAAGCGAACCGCATGACCCAACAATACCCTTAAAGAAACAGAGTCACACAATACCACCAATGAAAACAATACCCTCAAAGAAAACAATACCCTTAAAGAAACAGAGTCACACAACACCACCAATGAAAAATACTAACCAAATCCAGTTACAACACTGTGATTTCAGCAGAAAATTCAACTTGTGATCTCAACGAATAAAACCAGCAAGAAAAACAACACTCCAACAACCATCAAAATCCCACCTTTTTCAAGACCCGAAATCACAAAGACCAAAACAAGAATGTTAAACACACAAAATTCAACATACGCAAAGAAGAAATGCTAAAAACATTGCAAAAAAGGCAATTCCATGAGAAGGGTTTTGATCACATACAGGAAGCAGAAAGTGAAGCTAGCAGAAGCACCCCATCAAAGATATCGCTCCGTAGTTAAATACTCCAAAGGATCCAACCCAAGTTGACTTCAAAAGAATAAAAGAAACCGAGGATATTTTTTTTGAAAACTCTACGAATACAATGTTCGAATGAGATTATATCATATATCCAACAACGTCCACACCTATTCTTACGAAAAAGAAAAAGAAAAAAGAGAGTATATAATATAATATCTTCTTCTTTTTATTTGGTACAAATATAATATATTATCTTAAGCTCGAGAGTTTGTCGTGTTAATAAGCCTTTGCATCACCATATGGTCAAACATAAGCGGTTGTGAGCGGTTGTGAATAGCGTGTGTCTTACCAAAGATGTTGGCGAAGAAGCCAAGTTCTAAGAACTCCAATGTATTTGGAATGACTATAATATCCCCATGAGTTGGTGCATCATGTTTCATCTAAAGGCCACGTTTTGATGTAAAGGACATGTGCCCTTTAACTCGATGAGATACTTGTCACCAATGGGAAGTTCTTTAACAAGAATCTATCATTTTACGAAGGGATTATCTAGTCTCATGTTGCATGAGAGATAAAATCTTATGTTATAGACACACATAATAGGATCTATTATCTAAAAAAAAAAAAAAAAAGTCATGGTTATCGAAGAATGTGTAGTAATAAAATTTACCTTATGTGACATAAGAATAATTTTTCCATTTTATGAATTATGTGACTCCATCCTTTGGTCGAAATAGTTAGCCGAACTTTGGTAGTGGTAAAATTGTTTGTTTGTGGTTACCAAAAAAATATGTTTGTTTGTAATTAAAAGGTTATGAATTTAAAATTAATAAATGGATAAAGTATTTTTTCAATGAGATAATTTATCACAGTGAACACAAAATGATGTTATTTTGTGATAAAAATTAAGGTATTTTTATAATTTTAATTTATTGCAAGATTATATTAGTCTTTATCATCATAAATTTTAATCTTACACTCCAAAATAACATCATTTTGAGTTTACAGGAAATCATTTTATCTTCGATGACCGGAGAAATACTTTCTCTTAATATATTATTATTTTTTGTAAATATGTGAGAGTAAGATGGCATATAAAAGTTGCCTCCATTTTTATTTTTGTTAATCGAGATTTAATGTGAAATAATTTTTTTAATTATAGAATTTAATTTAATTTCCTTTGCAAGAGGTTGGAGTAGTTTGCAAATCTTATTCGTTATTGTATAAAGAAAATTTGATTTGATTTGATTTGCATATTATTATTTTTTGTTTATAATTTCTCCAATAACTTGATGTAAAATTATTTTCAGCAATCTCAATACTATATCATTTAGAGTTTGCAAATTAATAAATGGTATTTAATAAAATTTATATAACAAAAAACAAATAAAATTCCTGAAATTGCTAGAGAAACGATAAACTATTTCTTTATCGGCTTTATTTTTTTCCTATTATAAGAACAAAAATTATCTCTTGTAAGTTTGATGACAAAGAAAAAAAATAAAAAAAGTGTGAAGAGTTTTAATGAAAGTATAAAATAATATCGTTAGTTGCCATATAGGGGATAATTTTTGTCCCTATAATAGGAGACAATTTTTTTTTTCCAAGGGGAGAAAAATAATGTACTTTCTTTATATGTGGAATGACATCTTTTGATCCAAGTAATTAAAAAATTATAATTGATATGATTTGTTTATCCTTTTTTTTTTTATTTGGTAACATGCTTATCCTCTTTATGTCACTTGTTATAATAGAAGTCTCATGAATTTCATAAGATTTGATATTTTCTTAATTTTGTAGGAGATATTTTTTTAATATTGCTTTTTATATATAACTTTATTAATTAAGTCATTTTGTCTACATAAGATTAATAAATAAAGTAAATTATTAATGTAAAATTAATTTAAATTATAAATTTTATTTTTTATTTTAAATTTTAAATAAAAGAACTTTTTCTTAAATGAATTCTAAATAATGCAACATAGAAGTCACCTAAATATAGTTGGGAATAGATAGTCTCATGTTAAAATTTTATATGATCTGGTCTTATGAAATTTTTGGGTTTAACTCTTTCCTTATTAATAATAATTGAACTATATTATTTAATGCATGTGAAGAGAGAAATAAATACAACAATTTTATATGATCAAATAATATATAATTATTTTTTTTTATAACAATAATATATAATTTTAACATAAGCGTATGGGCAAGGGGATCTTGATTCTCTAATGTTAAAAAAATATATGATATAATCATGTGGAGAATAATAATTACACAAAGGTGAATCAATGGTGATAAAGGAAGAGAGAGAAAATATTAAAATAGATAGTTATAAAATTATGACCATTAATTTACTTTTATATAGTTATGATCTTCCTATATAATCATATTATATATTTTTCAGGAGAAAACTTCATTTTCATTCACTGTGATTTTGTGATTTATCATTTACCCTATGTGATTTTAAACTTATCACTTAGACTCATTGTGCTGAAATAATTTATCATTTAACTTTCTATAATTTCAGATTTTCACTTAGACTCCTTATGGTTATAAAAAATTTCACTTGTACTCCTCGTAGTTTAAAAAAAATAAATTTAAAAATAAATTTTCTCTTTTTTTTTTATATCCTCATGTAACGCATTTAGGGTTTAAAAAATATTTCAAGTTATTTATTCTGAAATTAATTTATAAATTATCATTATTTTTTATTTATTTAAAAAAATATTTTTTTCAAAATATTTAAGATAAATTAAATATTAATTATTAAAATAAGATATTCATTTTCTTTAGATAATTTTATAAGGGTTCAGGTAAAAAATAGATAAAATAAAATAATAATTTATTTGAATTTGTTTTCTAGATAAAAATAAGTGAATTTTTTATTTTTTATTTTTTATATCCAAAAAAGAGGAAAAATTTATTTTAAGTATTTATTTTTAAAAAAATTTATTTTTGTAACAGCAAGGGATCTAAGTAAAAAAATTTAAGCACAAGATATCTAAGTAAAAATTTAAAATTATAGAAGATTAAATAATAAATTATTTAAGTATAATAAATCTAAGTTAAATACTTAAAATCACAAAAAATTAAATAATAAATCACAAAATTATAATGAATAAAAATAATTTTTTTAGAGTAAATACCTTTTTTGGTCCTCAGCAAATTTTACTATGCCCGTTTTAGTCCCTAGCAAATAAAAAGGTCCATCGTGGTCCCTAAGAAATTTAAAATGGACTCATTTAGTTGAAATCGAGGTCCCTCACAAATTCAAAAAAGACCCATATTAGTTTCTAAAAAGACTAAAATGGGTCCATTTTTAATTTCTCAGGGACCACAATGAGTTTTT